TTTTTTTTTAAATAAATTTTTATTAATTTTCCAAACACAAAATAAAAAGACAAACAATACACAATACACCGACATACAAACATATAAACATGTATAATTTCATAACCATTTTTTCATAAACCTTACTTTCCGGACTTCCCCATACCTCCCCTTTTCTGCATCCTTGTTTTATATTTTTTCAGCAACTCCTCAGTCGACTAATTATTCAATTCATTTTCTTTTAAATTCTTCTAATATTGTTAATTACAGCTGCAATTCTCTGTTTCCCTACCCCTTGACATTTTAACATTCCTGAATTTTACAACAAGTTCTAAGATAAACTTTGAATTTCTTCCAATCTTCTTCCACTGTCTCTTTCCCCTGGTCACGGATTCTGCCAGTCAACTCCGCCAGTCCCATGTAGTCGATCACCTTCGTCTGCCATTCTTCCAGTGTGGGTAGTTGTTGTGTCTTCCAATACTTTGCTAGAAGAATCCTTGCTGCTGTGGTCGCATACATAAAAAACGTCCTGTCCTTCCTTCTCACCAATTGGCCGACAATGCCCAGGAGAAAAGCCTCAGGTTTTTTAGGGAAGGTCCATTTAAGAACCTTCTTAATTTCATTATAGATCATTTCCCAAAAAGCTTTTATCCTCGGGCAGGTCCACCAAAGGTGATAAAAAGTACCTTCAGTCTCATTACATTTCCAACATTTGTTATTGGGCAGATGATAAATTTTTGCAAGCTTGACTGGGGTCATGTACCACCTGTACATCATTTTCATAATGTTTTCTCTTAAGGCATTACATGCCGTAAATTTAGTACCTGTGGTCCAGAGCTGTTCCCAGTCAGCAAACATAATGTTATGACCAATGTCTTGTGCCCATTTTATCATAGCTGATTTCACCGTTTCATCCTGTGTGTTCCATTTCAACAGCAGATTATACATTCTCGACAGATTCTTAGTATTGGGTTCTAACAGTTCTGTTTCTAATTTTGACCTCTCCATCTGGAAACCTATTTTCCTGTCCTGTTTAAATGTCTCGTTTATCTGAAGGTAGTGCAACCAATCTCGCACTTTGGACTTTAATTTCTCATAACTCTGTAATTTAACTTTTTCCCCATCTTGTTCTAAAATTTCACAATATTTTGGCCATTTAGACTCCATATTAAGTTTTTCACCTCTTTAGCTTCCATTGGTGACAACCACCTGGGAGTTTTACTTTCCAGTAAATCTTTATACCGCATCCAAACATTATATAATGCTTTCCTAACAATATGGTTTTTGAAACCTTTATGCAGTTTTACCTTATCATACCATATATATGCATGCCAGCCAAATCTATTGTCAAACCCTTCTAGATCCAAAATGTCTGTATTCTCAAGAAGTAGCCAATGTTTCAACCAGCAGAAAGCCGCCGATTCATAGTAGAGTCTTAAGTCCGGCAGGGCAAACCCCCTCTATCTTTTGCATCAGTTAGAATCTTAAATTTTATTCTGGGCTTTTGCCCTGCCAGACAAATTTGGATATATCTTTCTGCCACTTCTTGAAACAGTCCATCTTGTCCAAAATCTGCAATGTCTGGAATAAAAACAACATTCTAGGCAATACATTCATCTTGATAACAGCAATTCGACCTAACAAAGAAAGTTTCAACCTTGACCATATTTCTAGATCTTTCTTTACCTCTGTCCAACATTTGTCATAATTGTCCTTAAATAAATTGACATTCTTAGATGTTAAGTTTACCCCCAGATACTTTACTTTTTCGTTATCACTAAACCTGTTTCATTCTGAAACTTCTCTTTTCAGCCAATGTTAAATTTTTGTCCAACACTTTCGTTTTCTGCTTGTTCAGTTTAAATCCTGCTACTTGACCAAATATCTCAATTAGTTCTAATACTCTTTTAGTACTAGTATCTGGCTGTTGCAAGGTCAGTACTAGATCATCTGCAAATGCCCTTAGCTTGTAATGTCTAGCTCCGACTTGTACTCCTTTAACCAACTGGTCTCCTCTAATCATGTTTAACAAAACCTCCAGGACTAATATAAAAAGTAAAGGGGATATTGGGCACCCCTGTCGTGTACCTTTTTCTATAGATATTTCTTCCGTGACCACATTGTTTACAATTAACTTTGCTTTTTGTTTAGAATATATTGCACCTATACCGTTTTCAAACCCTTGACCTACCCCCATCCCTTGGAGATTCTTCTTCATAAAGCTCCAACCAATATTATCAAAGGCTTTCTCCGCGTCCACAAAAATTAAAACAGCCTTCCTATTGATGTCCACTTCTAACAGTTCCAAAATGTCTATAATGTTCCTCACATTGTCCGACATATGTCTCCCTGGAAGAAAGCCAGTTTGGTCCTTATGAATCTCCCCTACCAACACTCTCTTCAGTCTTTTTGCCATAATGTCTGCAAAAATTTTGTAATCCACATTGAGTAATGATATAGGGCGGTAGTTTTTAACCTGGTTCTTTTCAGTTTCAGTTTTCGGTATAAGTGAAATAAAGGCTTCTTTCCACGACTCTGGTGCCTTTTTCCCCTCCAAAATTTCATTGCATACTTCCTTCAGTGGTTGTACTAGCCATTCCTTCAACGCTTTATAATATCTGGCGGTCAAACCATCTGGTCCTGGAGATTTTCCCAATTGCATCTTCTGAATGGCACCCTCTATTTCTTGTCCTGTTATTTTCTCATTCAAAATCCTTCTGCTTTGCTCTGAAATTTTTGGTAATCCATGTTTCTTAACAAATTCTTCTATTTCCTGTTCGTTGACTGGCCCTTGTGCATATAATTTCCTGAAGTAACTTTGAAAACAATTACTTATCTCGTTTGGTTTGTGGATAATTTTTCCATCCACTTCTAAACTTGTCACAGTGTTCAGTTTTTGCCTCTTTTTCAATTGCCATGACAGAAATTTCCCACATTTATCTGCTGATTCAAATGTCTTTTGTCTCATTTGCTTTATTTTCCATTCTATCTCTTGATTCATCAATTCCATATATTGCACCTGATAGTGCTTTATTTCTCTCAGAATCTCATGGGACTTTGGTTTAGACCTCAATTTCTTTTCACCTTCTTTTATTTTTTCCAGAATTTTTTCTTTCCTTTCATTTTGATTTTTCCTCTTTATGGAGTTCTGTTGTATTAGAAAACCTCGCATCACGGCCTTACTTGCGTCCCAGATTATTCTTTTTCCACTTCTGTTCTCAAATTTATCTCAAAGTAATCTTTCAGTGTTTTTTGGGCCTTCTTATAAATCTCTTCATCTCTAAATAGGGTGTCATTCATTCTCCATCTAAAGGATCCAGTTGATGCTAGTTTCATCTCCATCTTTACAGCATTATGGTCGGAGCAAGTCTTTGAGCAGATTTCTACCTTTTTGATCCTTGGCGCCATACTGCTAGTTACCCAAATTTGGTCAATTCTTGTCCATGTCATTTTTGCTTCAGAGAAAAAAGTTCCCTCTCTCTCAAGAGGGTTCCTTGTTCTCCAAATGTCAATCAAGTCCATAGTTTCAGTCATTTCAAAAAAAGTCTTTGGTAGTCTCCCTTCCTTGGAAATTACTTGTCTTTGTGCTTTGTCCATATTTGTGGAAACTACACCATTCATGTCTCCCATCATTACTACTCTATAGTCTAAATAGTCCATTAAAGTCTCATGCAGCTTCTTAAAGAATTCCGCCTTCCCGTCATTTGGTGCATAAATTCCGACTATCAAGATTTTTCTCCTTGAACTTGTATTTCAATTGCCAGGTATCTTCCTTGTTCATCTTTAAATATCATCTTTGGGGCCAATTTTTCTTTTGCATAGATCACCACGCCTCTTTTCTTAACTTTGTCTGATGAAATAAATTCCTGTCCAAGTCTCTTGTTTACCAATAATTTCCTATGTGTCCTGGTCACATGGGTCTCTTGTAGACATATTAGGTCTAATTGTTCTCTTTTCAAAATATGAAAAACTTGACGTCTTTTTCGGGGAAGGTTCAAACCATTACAATTCCAACTAAGAAGCTGCAGAGACATTTTGTTATTTAGGTACCTGTTCCACCGACTGCTCCTAACTTTTGTTCATCTACAGATGGTGGTATGAGTCCAAATGACAAGTTTGCAATGTCTGTCACTCCTTTTTCTTGTATTGTTGTTTCTACTGTTCCTTTCTGCAAGTCCTCCTGATATCTCTCCAAAAACTGTTCTTTATCTTGAACTGTTCTTATTTTGACCTTCCTTCCTTTGAAAGTAAAAGACAATCCTTGTGGAAACTCCCACCTGAAGGGTATGATATTTTTCTTCAGCAGGTAGACCAAATCTTTATAGAAGGCTCTCACCTCCAAAATATATTTAGGGATATCTTTAAAAATTTGTACTTGACTATTTTCAATCTCCAATGCCTTTTGGTAATGCAAGTTCAATATTTTATCTCTTTCTCCTTTGGATCTCAATGTGATCAAACAATCCCTTGGCTTCTTACCTTGCCTCCTGCCCAGCCGAAAAGCTGTTGTTATTTCAAGATCTTCTTCCTGCAGCTCCTTTTGCCAAAATTCCATAAAGTTCTGTGTAAGGAAGTCCACAAGGCTATCTCCCTCACTCTCGGGAACCAATCTCAATTTCAGATTTCTCTCTTTTCTCTGTAATTCCAGCAAAGATAGGGCTGCATCATGTTCATTCACTTTTTTTGTAATCGGCACAAGCTCCTCCCTTGTCTCCTCTGCAGTATTTTTGCACTTTCAGCAATCTTTCGTGTTTCAGAACTTTATTTAATTAATTTATTAATAGATTCTGTATTAGATGTTACACTTGCAGTATTCAAGTCCAATCTTGCTGTCAGTTCTGTCAATTTTTTTGAATTTTCCGTAGATAGCTTTGTCAGTGCTTCTAAAGATTGGTTTATTTTGAGCAGTGCCTGTGTCATTGAATCCATAGATGCTGTTGCCACTTTTTCCTGTGCAGCTGGTGGTATGCCAGATATTGAGCCCCTTTTCTTTTGTGTCTGTTTTGCTTTGGATCTAGTTGTTATCTCTTCTGCTGGACCACTCATATCCTCAAGGTCGTTCTCACAGGAAAGACTTGCAAGTGGAAAATCCCACTGTTTCTTTTTCACTATAACAGTTTCTCTTTATACCCTCTAGAGGGAGCATTTAATTGTATCCAAGTGAAGAGAGAAAGAACAAAGGAACATAGAGCAATCAACAAAAAATCCAAGAGTCCACAGTAAAAGTTTCTGTCGCACTTTTTCAGTATAGTCACAAGTTCAACAAAGTAATTCCATTAAAGTCCCGTAACTTTGTCTCAGACAAAACCCCAACTTTGTATCCAGTCTAAACTGACAGTTCACTTTCCCAGTGCCTTACTCAGGCAGTCCGTTCAGGGGATTTGGCAGTGAAAGATGTTTTTTCCTCAGTTAATTTCAGGCAGATTAACAGTGTCCAATTTTCTTCCCCCCTTCTCCTGCTTACTGGGGGGAAGTTTAAGTCAAATGTCAGGTTTGACAGCTCAAAGATAATTTTCTTTCAAATGCAGCTTTACTCTTTCGTTGCTTTAATTGCCATGCAGATCGGGGAGGCAGACTTCCTTAATTTATGCCTTTCCCGTTTTCAACCAAATTTCAGAATTTAAATTTAAATGTCCCGTTCAATCCCTCCGTCTTACTCACGGGGTTTACAGTCGAATTTATAGTTCAGGAAGGAATCGGCGCTCTCCGTTCATGGCGATGCGGCTTCACTCCACGAGCTGGGTTGCGACTCTCAGCACCGCGCTCACCCCCGATGCCGCTCCGTAGCCTTTAAAAAGGCTCTTTCACAGTACCGAGGGGCGCAAAAGGTGCCCACCGAGTCTCCTTGTTCACAGGCTTCAGCGCCTGTGATTTTAGGGGTCCCCCGCTCGCCGTAGCGGGTCAGACCCGAACTCGCGAAGCAGTCCTCCTCCGGAGCTCGAAGCGAGGACCGCCATTAAACGCTGGCGCCGACCGGAAGTCGATCTCAAGGAGGGTGTTCAATCAGTTTCGGCTCTGTACCAAAATATGTTGGTGAGTGACAATAGCCCTATTCAGATGTTTCACTTATGTGTTAGAACAGTGTGTCAGGCAAGCTGAACTGAGTAGCATTGCACATAACCAGCAGCCCCAACCTGGCATCTGTGCATGCGTCGTGAATGCTTGCAGAGGCAGAGCCTTTGCATGTAAAGCAGGGAACCAGATTGCACGAAAGCCTTTGCAAGTACAGGTGTACCTACAGAGGCTCCTTTCCTGCAGATATTCATGGTGAACATACAAGTGCCAGGTGTGAATAGCGCATGACAGGGGAATGGCTCCTCAGCGATGGTCTGACATGTGAGTAAGACTAAATACGGCTATTAACAGCCTCTTTTAGGAAGTGTCTGATGAGCTAAATAGAGGGTTTTCAAATGAGTCACAAAGCTGCACAGATGACTTCTTCCTCCCTCACCACTAAAATGTGGAACCACTTGCAAGTAAGATAAGGTTTATAAGATGGCGGTTGTACAGCCATTAGCCATCAAATATTTATCGTGGCTTCCTTATTTGCACATGGATGTAAGCGGTGGGGAGGGGGAAATTGCACTTCCTGTAATTTTCGCTATACAATGAAACTCTCTGCTTCCCATTAAAATCTTCATCAGTAAAATGAATACTAGGTAGCAGTAGGGAATTAAAGCTTTCAAGATACTGTGTGGGAATTAATTGCACACAGCATTTAATACTAACTTGTAGTATCAACCTTCTACACTAGATGGCAAAATGGTGCCATTTTTCACTTCTTGTTTCTGTGCTACATTTTGGAATTTCTGTTTGTACACAATTCAGATTTCTTATTCATGGGCACATGGATGGCATTATTACAAAGTCTTAATTATGGGTTTTTTTTAAAATAAAAAGCCCTCTTTCTATCATGTGCTCCTTTTAGACTTTGTAATGCCCATCACTTCACCTTCTTAAATATATATCAGAAATGTGATTGTTCCATCAAACATTAATGGACACCATTTAGTACTTGAAATGCTTTGAAAAGGGCTTGGTCCAAGTTCTTAGGCTGAAATCCAAGGGTAAAACCTTAATTGGCTTTTGATATTATGGTCTTCTCAGTACTTGGAAAAAATGGTTCCACCAATTTATCATACCTGTTCCCCACCCTCTTTCCCCCTACTACTCATTGGAGGAAAATAATTATAATTTCGCTTTAGGCAACATATCAGACTTCATGAATTGAATTCATTCTAAACGTAGATCATCTGTGCCCATAAATACCTGCTGAGCATCTATTCCCCCGCAACCACACACCCCCATTGCATCTGACTCTTATTGCATCCTCCAGGTCCCTACCTGCCCTCCCCATTACCTCATCTCTAACTCTCAGCAAGCTGAAAACCCTGGAAAATCTGGCTCTTTGGTTCATTATAATTTTATTATCGATATGATGGGGTCCCGCCCTTTTGTATCCTGCCTGATGTTGCATAACCCATTGGAGGACCAGACACAAATAAGTGTAATTTCAGAAGCACTGTTTTGAAATGTTTAAGGCTAGGGCTACGAATTATACAACTGGCCCCTGTGGTGGTCCCTTTCACAGTGATGTGATCTGCAAGAATCAGGTAATACTTGCCTCTGATGCCCCAAGTTAGCAGTTCAAGTTGAAGACACAGCTACAAGGGTGACCTGTGTGTGGAGTGGGCAACTCTGTCCAGGGCTCTGCAGTGTATTTTTGAATATCATATGCACATAGAATTATGGATAGGCACCTTTCATTGATTGTCCCCACCACTGGCAAAAAAATATTTATTTAGGAGTATTTCTATATTCTAAATAGTTCAGTATTTAGTTCTTAATTTGTGCAGATAATTAAGCTGGCTTGAATAACGGCAGTCACTAATTTCTCTCACACCATTCTTTCCATGCCAGAGTCAAGACACAGGAAGAAAGGAGATAGAGGCATTCAAACCCAACTTCTTAAAACTTCCTACATACTATGGTAGTAATACACCATTATTCCCCATGGCCCATTTAGAATGGGAAAAGCAGCTTTGGAAGCAGCAGGGGAGTGGAGGGAGTGGGTTATTCTGCTTAGTCCTTTCCCTGCCTCCAAATCACACATCCCCAGTGGCTACCCCTGCCCCAGCTACTCTAATGCTGCAGCTGGTGCAGAATATGTCAGTCCACCTTGTACTAAAATTGAGATATTAGAACTTTACAACACTAGATCTATGTATATAAACTGTACTAGCTTCTAGGCGTCATTAAAGTTCTGATCTTGATTTTGGAGACTGTAAGTAGTCTAGACCTATTCCTATAAGAATCCCTCCACATCTTTTGGAAAGGTCCTGATACATATTTTTTGCTTAAAGAAGTGTGGCCCTGGACTTCCAGCCCAAAGTCCTGTTCTGACAGCACCACCACTGAAAGATGGCAAAAAAACCCACAACAAAAACCCTGCTGCAGCTGTGTCAGCACACAGGAAGAGCTTTGCAACTCTCTCTTTAAAATCAAATGAGCCTTGATCAGGACTGCTTCCATAGATCAAAAGTTACTCCTTGCAACTGCCTGAGATCATTATTATGGGCAGCATATACTCTGCTTCAACTCTGCTGCTTAAATAATTTTAGCTCCCTCTGTATAAACCAACTTACGATCCCAGTGAAAAAACAGCCATGGCCCATGAAACAAGTAGGAATGGATAATCAATTTTTATCACTTGTATTATGAGTAGGACCCATAGCTTTGGGTGAGTTATTATAGTTTCTCCGCTAGGAATGGATGTGTATAGATGTTTAATCTCTCTTCCACTGCTACGTATCAGCCCAGATGGACAGGAAAAGAAAGCAATGTTAGCTCATACTGCAGCTTGTGCTTTACCCTGTGACCTTTAACCAGAGGTGCCAACTTGAATAAAATATTGGGGGTGGGGCAAGGTAAGCCCTGCCCCGCATAATTGATCACAAGACACGGTGCACACACACCATTTGAATGACGATGCTCATCAATTTTGTGGGGGCTCGGTCCCTAGGAGTTGGCTCCTGTGACTTTAACCATGGCATTCTACTTTGCTAGGTATTCACCTCCATCTTCACTGCTTTCCAAATAAAGTTAGATCAGCTTAAGTATCAGGCCTTCTCAGTCAACACATGTCCTGACTCCACCCCAAGTCTCTAGGTGCTTCCTTTTCACAGACTGAGAGATAGTTTCTTGCATTAACACTTCAACACATGGCAGAAAGATCTAAACAAATCTATAGAGGGTTATGAGAGTCAGCATAATTGTTTTTCCATCTCAAAAACTTCTTTCCACCTACACCCCAGGGCATACTGAGCTCCTCCCCAGCCACCCCACCCCACTGCTTCATTTCTGCTGCTGCCTTAGCCCAGTAAATCCCCATCCTTTCCTTTCTAACATGTGATAATACAAGTTGCAGTGAGAGCCAAAGGAACTCTGAAACAAAAACATGATTCACTGGAAAACCTTGTCTGCCAATTTGGAAATTAATTTAAAGTGACTTAGCTAAACCCACAAGGGAAGTCAGTAGCACAGTAGAAGTCAGTGGCCACACTCATGTTTTGCTACTGCAGGATACCAACCCTGATGTACATAATACATACTCTAGTCCTTTTATGAACTCCAGCAGGACTGAGTGCAAACTCAGTTGCCTCCTTCCCATGAATCTTCTAATCTTGGTTCTTTTCTGCTAGGCATTCATTTTTATTCAGTGCCTTCCTGAGTGATTTTATGGTCCTAGGTTAATGCCGCTCAGCATCATGGAAGTACTGAACCATAGGGCTTCTCCAGTTACTAGAATGGATGCTCATTTTTTATTTAAAACTACATGGGTAAAAACACAGCTTCCTAGACTACCATACTTCAAAATTTCACATTTTTCAGTGGTAAAGCATACACATTCTTTCATTCAACTAAATGCAGAAATCTCCTTCATTTCAAAGAGCATTGCAGACTTTCTCTCACTTGGAGCCTCTCTGTAGCTTGCATTACTGTCATTTATTTTATTTTGTGAAAGTCCTTCACTGTGCAGCCCCACCCCATGCTTCAGAGAGCAAGACGTCAGAAAAGAGGAACAGAATGTAATGTACTCTAGAGAAGTGCACTTACCAATTATATTTATTCAGCTGCATGGGGAAATCTCAGCAGTTCAGAGCAAATGTTCACTGAGGTGAGTAACTCTGCAAACCAGTTTAGCTGGTGGGTCACAGGAGAGTTCCAAGCATCAAGAGTATGCTGTGCCTATAATATTCAACTGAACATTATTATTGGCCAATGAATGGGCTTAAACCCCCTAAGTATGATGAGTCTTTCTAGGAGAAAACTGGACACGAGCCATAGCCTTCTTAAGTCAGGACAAGCCCTCTATAAACCACACAAGAATGGATATTATGGTGGGAGGATAATTGTGGTGAATAGCATACTGTGTATTTATTAGAGCTGAGCCAAAATTCAGCAGGTGACATTTTTCTTGGAATATGTTAAAGATTTTTCTTTTTCTCCACCCAATAGATAAAGGCCACTTTCTGCACATGCTCCAAACTCAAAAATTTGTTCAAGCAAGTAACATGTAGCTAGCGGAATTACATTTACTTACTTCATCTGTGCATGTAATTCTTGTCTTCCCCTTCCCACTCTATAAAAATCTTTGTATTTTGGCATTTGGCTTTCTAAGTTTTAGAAGGTAATTTTATGCAATTTATCACTAGAAGCTTCCCCATGTTCTGCATGGATGTAAAGAAGAGTTTGGATTTGATATCCCGCTTTATCCCTACCCGAAGGATTCTCAAAGCGGCTAACATTCTCCTTTCCCTTCCTCCCCCACAACAAACACTCTGTGAGGTGAGTGGGGCTGAGAGACTTCAGAGAAGTGTGACTAGCCCAAGGTCACCCAGCAGCTGCATGTGGAGGAGCAGGGAAGCGAACCCAGTTCACCAGATTACGAGTCCACAGCTCTTAACCACTACACCACACTGGTAAAAGCTACCCCTGCATTATAGGGATATTTCCTAAGATTTTGCTACACTCTGCCTTCTGAGCTTTGGGAGAGTAAAACCCAAAGCTTCTCTCTTTGCTTACTTTTTTCTTAGGACTGGGCTGAGAAGAGGAGTCCTGGTCAATAGGGCAGTTTAGGCTATGGCAGGAGGTTCATCCCATCTAGGAGCAGCCTATTGTAAAAAAAATACTTTGAGAGGGGGGATACTTATACCAAAAAAGGGTTTGACATTCATGAAAAGTCCCTCTCTGGGCCATTATTAAAGTAAGCCAAACTAATAATAATGTCTATAACATTTCTTGAGTTAACAACATCAGAGCAGGGATAGGTTTACAGTAAAAATCAAATATCTTCCCTACACACAAATGCTATATAACTAGAGCCAAGATTGTGAGTAGCTTTGTAATGGAATTTGCTCCCACATGATTTTGTGATGGCCACCAGCAGCGATAGCTTTAAAAGAGGATTAGACAAATTCATGGCGGGTAAGGCTATTAATAGCTATAAGGCACAATGGCTACACTCCACCTCCAGTGTTGGTGGTAGTATGCCTCTGAATGCCAGTTGCTGCAAATCACAAGTGGGGAGAAGGCTGCTTTTTTAAAAAGCTCATGTTCTGCTTGTACGCTTCCCATGGCCATCTGATTGGCCACTCTGATGCTGACCTTGATCCATCAGGGATCTGCTTATGTTCCTAGACCCAGTCTCTCTCCTACATACTCTCTCCGCCTCTGGATACCTTGGCTGTTGTTTGTGCTGGGCTGGCTGCTCCTCAGCCTTTCATTTTTAGTCATTGCCTTCCTTTTCTTCTCTATCTTGCCCATTGACTTTTCAGGATAATTTGTGGAATTTGTCGCCACAAGATGTGGTTGCTGCCTCTACCTTTGACAGCTTTAAGAGAGAATTAGACAAATACACAGCCCGTCTATCAGCTCAGCAAGTAGTCAGGATGGCTGCATGTACCTTCTGGTTTCTGCAGCCTATGTTTCTAAACACCACTTGCTAGGGAACATGCCCTGCTCGTGGGCTTTCCACTTGTATCTAAATGGCAGTGGTCACTGTGGGAAAGAGGATGCTGGACTCAATGGGCCTTTGGCCCGTCACAGCAGCGCTCTTCTTTCTCCTGCTTTTGCTTCCGTAAGCTTCTTTCTTATGCTTTTTTCTTCCCTCAGCCATCTCCAACAGTCACAACTGCCGTTCTCTTTAAAATGGTTCAACATTCCTCCTCTGTGTCTGGCGTGCCCTCCTCTAAGTCAGGGAAAAGTTCCTGTTGTGTCATCACCCTGACCAGGGCATTGCAACTGGCCTCAAAGCGCATGAACTGGTGCTGTGTTTTTACCATGGTGAGTTGTCAAAAGCCATTTCCCCACAGCATTTTCATTACCCACACGTTGAAGAACAATATTTTCACAGGCTTGGAAAAATAGTAATTTGAAGACTGCTCACGTGCAAAGCTTCCTACAATTTATTTTTTTGTATATATATATATATATATATAGATTTCACACCATTGCAAGCAGGGCCATCACCCAATTAAGAAATCTTAGTCAATTAATCAAACGAATTTAAAGTGATTAATTAATCAAATTGATATAAATTTGCATATGACTTAAAGCAATAGGTATTAAGAAAAAGGCAGACTTTCATTGTTTTCAGATGATGCATGCATGTGTCACCACAGTCACCATCTCAAAAGAAGCATTTGCTCCTGTGGGAGAGAGAAGAGGGAATGCCTTTTCTAAGGAAGCACCTGCCATCTGCAGTTTTTTAAGTACTTGTCTTAATTAACATTTTAAAATGTGCTTTCTGATTAATTTAAGGTTTTGCTGTTGAAGTGTAAAGCCCTGAACAGCCTGGGATCTGCTTCCCTGTGAGACCTCCTTTTCCAAGATCATCATGTTCAAGCCTTTAGGTCATCAAGCGAGGTCCTCTTGTGGGTGCCACATGCCCTGGAAGTTGGTTTTTTTTAGTACCAGTGGAAGTCTTTAGTGCTGAAGGACAGGAGGGGGGAGTATTATCCCATCTCAAAAAGAACTGATCCCTATTCTGAGTCCATCTCCCTGCTGACCAGGAGAACCTTTGTATTGTCTGCTTTATTGTCGCCATTTGCTAGCCCTCATCCAACTCATAATGGCTTCCTTAGTATTAGATGAAAAGGAGAAATAGTGTAGCAACCACCCATTGTTGACAACCTATCTGCTGGTAAATTTGTATGGTTAACTTCTTCGTGTCTCCTGTCTGCTCCAATCAGCAGAAGGCTTGTCACACCATTCTGGTTGATCTGTCCCAGTAGTGTGGTGGCAAATTTAGAAATGCAAGGTCCCTTCATGACAGTCACACCATGCTGCCTCACACCCATGTCTGAGATTATACGCTTTAACTTCCAGAACGAAAGTTTTCCCTAAAGCTTCCTGAGAGTGTAGTTTTGTGATTTTTAAAGATTTCTCAGCACCTTACCAATCTACTCCCCAGAAAGCTGTGTGAGGAGAACCTGAGCTTACAGGGTTAAACAGCTCAGAATGTACGCCCTGCCTACAGTTGGGAGGGGGGAGCTACGTCAGTTCCGAGAGACTAAAGTCTTTGTTCTGTCTCTCTACTTTCGCTTTTGAGGAGAGAGGACGTGTTTCACGATGCTGTTCGCTGTGATAGATAATGGATAGCCTGCTGTAAATAAAACTGCTTTTAGCTGCCAAGAACCTGAGTGGACTTTATTTAAGTACACTGAAGAATGCACGGGAGTGTTTTGCAGCTTCCTCTAGCCGCTGTTGATTTCAACTCTGCTATGCTCAGATGAGTCGGACTCTTGGAATGCCGAGACTCTGGGGGAAGCGTGCCGGACCGGACGCTTATCTGAGCAATAAATCAATATATCCCAGAGGTTATGGAGGCAGTAATTGCTATTAGAGGAAGCCTGCTTTGATGTGCTGTGTGCTTAAGAAGGCTGGAAACTGAGAAGCTGTTGTTTTTGCTGCCGGAGGGCTGCAAGCTGTGTGCTGCAAAGGGACGCCGGAGGCCTATCCTCGGAGCCGGTTGGTACGCGTGAGTACTCCAAAGCCCCAGGGGGGGACCGGGGGAGGAGATGGCAGAACTCCAGGAGAGTTTCAACGTCCCCTTTGAAAGATTAAATCAGCAAAATTGGGAGGACTGGTCAAGAAGAGCACGGGCGTGGCTCACAGGGAAAGGCCTGTGGGACTGTGTTCAACGTGAACCTACCCCAGCAGCTGCTGGTGCTGATGAGGCAGCCAGAGTGCGGGCAGCTACAGCCCAGAGAAGGGACCAGAGGACTTATGGGCTTTTAATCCTTGCCCTGGATTCATCCCAGCTCCCTCATGTTGATGGTCTGACCACTGCAAAGCCGTCTGGGACGCTTTGGAGCGTGTCCACCAGAGAACGACGGCTGGGGCCAAGATCCATACTACTAGGAGCCTTTTTGAGTTGAAGCTTCAGCCGGGGGTCAATGCAGGAGCATATAACCCAGATGCTGGCAGCGTTCAACAGGCTCCGGCAGCTACAGGTCCTCTCTCTGAGGAGCTCAAAGTATACATTCTTTTGAGCTCATTGGACAGGAGCTATGAGACGTTGTGTCTGACCTTGGAAGCGATGCCTGCGGACCAATTAAATCTGGATTACGTGGCGGGCCGCCTCTGCGACGAAGAATCCCGCAGACAGAGAGCTGGGGGGAAAGCTCCAGGCCCAGGCTGTGCTCCCAGGAGTGGGGGTGCAGGGAATACAGGAAGAGCCGGAGGGGAGACTGTGAGAGCTTTTGCTTCTCGCCGCTGTTATCGCTGTGGCTCCCCCTCCCATCTGGTGAGAGAATGTCCAGTGGAGGCACAGGAACAGCCCAAGGCCGTCTCCCGTAGCAACCAGATAAAGAGCTCTTCTTCAAAGCGTGGGAAAGGCAAGCCGAAGGCAGCTGGCAGAGACACTGAACGTAAACATTTGGCTGCCTCTATGGCTGTAGTCAAAAGTTGTCAACAGGATGCAGAGCTGGCTTTTGTGGTAGACTCAGGATCATCGCATCATCTTGTGCCATCTAGTGGATTCCTGGAGAACTGCACCTCTGTAAAAACTGGGAAGACTGTCTGTTTAGCAGATGGGACTCGACACCCACTCACGCAGAGTGGCTCACTGTTTTGTTCTTTCTTGCAGGACTCAATCCAGGCTTTTGTTGTTCCAGGACTGTCCTGCGCGTTGCTGTCTGTCAGTGCACTTCTTGCTGAGAACTACAGAGTGTGTTTTGAGAACAATAAGTGTTCTATTTCCAAGAATGGACAGCACCTAGTCAGTGTTTTATGTAAAGACAGGTTGTTTGTGATAAATGCTTCCTTTGCAGGTCCAGATGACACGGATGACACGGAGGAGGCTCAAGCGCAGTGTGCCAATGTTCCAGTTCATGATGCGTGTCAACATCTCTGGCACCGACGTATGGCACACGTGTCGTGGGGGTCGGTGAGAAGGATCCCAGAGTATACGCAAGGGTGCAAAATGAAATCATGTGCTAAATTTCTAGATTGCAGAGCGTGCAAGTCCGCAAAGGTGAAAACGTGCACATACCCTAGGTCTGAGAGGGTGACCACTAGGGCTTTTCAATTAATTCATGCAGATTTGTGTGGACCGTTTTCTGTGAGCAGTTTGGGCGGAGCCAAATTTTCGCTGGTTCTGATTGATGACCATACTAGGAATTCTTGGAGTTTTTTGCTTCGGCGCAAAGATGAAGCTGCGCCGCTAATCAAAGACTGGATTGCGGCTGTGGAACTGCAGTTTTCCACACGGGTGCAAAACTTTCAGAGCGATCGCGGTGGGGAGTTCACCGGGTCTGCACTGCAAAGTTTCTTCCGCAAAAGGGGATTCAACACAGGTTGACTTCTCCATACAGTCCCCAACAGAATGGGATCGCGGAACGCAGGAATAGGACTCTACGCGAGATTTCCGCACCTGCTGAGGTTGATTCCGGGCTACCACAGCGCTTTTGGGGGGAGGCTTGGCGAACGGCCAACTTTGTTCTGAACAGGTCGTTCAATTCAGTGGTAGGTGACACCCCGTATTTCTTGCTTCATGGCAAGAAACCGAAAGTGCACTACTTCCGCGTTTTTGGCTGTGAGGCCTGGGTCCTCATACCAAAGGCCAAACGCAAGAAAGGTGAACCCAGGTCCCAGAAGATGATTTTTTGTGGGTATGAGCCAGGGACCAAGGGGTGGAGGTTTGCTTATCCGTCAGGGAATCAGTCCAGGATTCTGCTCAGCAACAGTGCTGAATTCTGTGAGCAGAGTGGCTGGGCAAGGATACATGGGAACCCTGACATCCTGTCAGAGAGTCTGCTAGACTCTGCTGATGAAGGAGAGGAAGAGGCTCAGAGTCCAGACCCAGTGCAGGCAGAGGGGAGAACTTCTCCCAAGGCTGTGAAGAGTGAGCAACGCAGTGCTCCATCTTCCCCCACAGGTTCGGCTGAGAAGTCCAGAAGGCGCAGTAAGTCAGAGGGGAGCTCTCTGATGCCAAGGACGTTCTGGCTGGCCCTAGTGGGTCAGAGGGGGTTCCTGAAGCGAGTGCTGCGCCGTTCAACACGGACGACCAAGGGAAACCTCCTGAAAGGTTTGCCGTCACTAGTGTGTGGGTCGGAATGGCACAGTGTGAACCCGAGAGTTTTGAGGATGTTCAGAAACTGCCTCAGGAAGAAGCCAGGAAATGGCATGAGGCGATGCAGAAGGAGATGAACTCAATGGAGTCTCTAGGTGTGTTCTCCCTCACGAAGTTGCCGGTGTGTGAAAAGGCAGTGGGTAGCCGCTGGCTTACCGTCTTAAGCCCACAGCAGCAGGAGAACCGCAGTATAAGGCCAGATTAGTGGCGAGAGGATTCACTCAGCAGAGGGGGTTGCATTATACGGAGAGTTATGCGCCCACATGTAGGAGTGAATCTCTACGCTTGATCTTGGCCATCGCAGCACAAAGAGGTTTGCTGGTGCATCACTTTGATGTGGATGTTGCTTACTTGAACTCAGACCTCCAGGAGGATCTGTACATGCTTCCTCCTCCTGGGTTTGAGGGCAATGAGCGAGGTACTGTGTGGAAACTTCACAAGTCAATTTACGGCCTGAAGCAGTCGGCCAGGAATTGGAACTTGTGCCTGAATGAAGTTTTGGAGGAGCTAGGTTTCAGGAAGAGTCTTGCTGACAGTTGCCTGTTCCTTAGAGGATCAGGAGACTCACAGGAACTGGTGTTGTTTTACGTTGATGACATCATCCATGTTGGAAAGGCAGACAAACAGGTGCAGAAGTTTGCCAAAGAGCTTGGGAAACGGTTTCAGCTCAAGGACCTGGGTGCAGTAAAGATCTACCTAGGTGTCCAGATAGCGAGAACTGAGGATGGTAGCTTCTTGCTCAGTCAGAAAGGCAAGACTGAGCAGTTGCTGGAGAAGTTCAGAATGTCCGATTGTGCAGGAGTTCAGACACCCATGGAGACGAACTTCGTGAAAGATAGCCAGCAAGCAGAAAGTGCTGAGTTCGAGAATGCTGAGCTCTTTCAATCAGCTCTAGGTAGTCTGTTGTATCTGTCCCAATGGAGCAGACCAGACATTGCTTTTGCTACCAACCTGCTAAGTAGGGAAGCGTCAAAGCCCAGTGTGAGTGCTTGGCACGGTATCAAGCGGGTACTGCGCTACCTGCAGCATACCAAAGACTTCTGTCTTAAGCTGCCAGCTGAAGGTGAGGCGAAGCTCACATGCTATGCGGACAGTGACTGGGCGAATTCGCAGGACCGCAAGTCTGTGTCTGGGTTGGTGATAAAGTTTGGGAAGTCACTGGTTGGGTGGAAGTCCCGGAAGCAGAGTCTCATTGCGCTGTCTTCTACTGAGGCTGAATTCAGTGCATTGTCAGACTTGTGCCGAGAACTAGAGTTCTATAGATGCTTGGTGCAAGAGATCTATGGGGATTGTAGCTTGCCCATCACGGTTTGGGAAGACAATCAGCCTTGTTTGAAGTTGGCTGAATCTGCGCAATTTAAAGCGAGAACCAAGCATCTGGACATACGTTTCCGAAATGTGTGTCAGAGTGTTCAGTCAGGTTTGATACGACTGAAGTACTGTGCCAGTCACAGTAACCTGGCCGATGGATTTACCAAACCTTTAAGCTTCCAGCATCATGGGGAGTTTTGTGGTGGTTTGGAGTTGGGGGTAAGTTCTGTACTTACTTTCCCCACAGTAGCGCAGGGCGAGAGGGGGTGTGAGGAGAATCTGAGCTTACAGGGTTAAACAGCTCAGAATGTACGCCCTGCCTACAGTTGGGAGGGGGGAGCTACGTCAGTTCCGAGAGACTAAAGTCTTTGTTCTGTCTCTCTACTTTCGCTTTTGAGGAGAGAGGACGTGTTTTCACGATGCTGTTCGCTGTGATAGATAATGGATAGCCTGCTGTAAATAAAACTGCTTTTAGCTGCCAAGAACCTGAGTGGACTTTATTTAAGTACACTGAAGAATGCACGGGAGTGTTTTGCAGCTTCCTCTAGCTGCTGTTGATTTCAACTCTGCTATGCTCAGATGAGTCGGACTCTTGGAATGCCGAGACTCTTGGGGGAAGCGTGCCGGACCGGACGCTTATCTGAGCAATAAATCAATATATCCCAGAAGCTGAACATCACAATTAAAGCAAAAGTCATATTATATGATTGACAAATCAATACAGCATTTATAATCTATAAAACAATATTAACAACATAACCAAAAAATAAACTAAGCACTGTTAAGGTCATACACACACTCTCC